AATGGGCATTAAACATCACTTAAAACCATGGTCTTTAGTTAATGCACATTAAGACAGGCTAATGCGCATTTTCCCAGTACCTCACAGTGGAGGTACTAGATTTAATGCGCATTAACTAAAGCACATTAATGCACGTCTAGATGTGCACAGCATGTAGATAAAAAATGTGTTATTTAGTTAATGTGCATTAAAATAAGCTAATGGGCATTAAACATCACTTAAAACCATGGTCTTTAGTTAATGCACATTAAGACAGGCTAATGCGCATTTTCCCAGTACCTCACAGTGGAGGTACTAGAGTTAATGCACATTAACTAAAGCACATTAATGCACGTGTAGATGTGCACAGCATGTAGATAAAACAAAAACAAATACTGTATATATACTGTGTATGAGTGCATCCAGACAAGCATGGCTGTGGGGTATGTGGGGCAGAAAACACATCTGGAGCACCACATACCACACAATCCAGTGTTCTCTGCCCTGCAAGGGCACGCCGCCTGTGTGTGTGCTGCTCCAGGTTTTTTTTCTGTTGGTTTTTTTGGCTTGTGGATGAGGTCAAAAAAACCTATCGGGAAAAAAATGTGGAGCATTACATGCATGGGCAGTGCACACTGATGAAAATGCTGCAGCTCTGCCTGGCAGGATTGCTGCAGCTGCAGACCCAGGAGGCTCCCCAGGGCCCCAGGTAAGGCTACTGGGGCCAGCACAGTGCTGGCTTCAGCCTCCCCTACTGCCCCCAGGGTAACTTGCTGTGCACCAAAGTGCATGTGGCCCAGGTGTTCCCTGGGGACAAGTAGCTGTGGCACAAGGTGAGCTGCCACTACTTGTCCCCGGGAAACCAAACACCTGCGCTCATCTGGATGCGGCCTATGAGGTTAACTTGAACTAAGAGTCACTAATTCAGTCTTTTCCTAATGATCCTTTCGAAAGGCATTTCTAGAGGGAAACTTTTGTGGTCAGATATCTCTCAGTATCAAGGAGTTCTAGGAAAGGGAGCTACCCATTGAAATTCCCAGTGTTGATACCTTAGAGTCATCCTCACTGTGTTTGCTTTATTTATTTTCAAGGAAGTTCAGTTATATATGCTGCTTTCTGTAACCCAGTCATAGGCTTTGTGTTGCCTCTGCTTTAAGTGGAGTGCTGGCAACTGATTGTCTCTGGAAATTATTATTTTATCTATTAACTATTGCTTTAACTATTAACTAACTCATTAATTATTAGGTTGTTCTGTGTAGCAGGTAGGAACCAGGAGTAGCATTTTCTCCTAGTCCTATGCTACTTCATAGAGCAGTAGACTAATCAGGGGAAGCTCACCCTGTCCCCTCAGAAATGATCAAACAATTTTTTGCCTTGCTGACATGTTTCATGTCCTGTAGTCTTAGGATGGAAGCCTACAAATTGTTTGTTTCCTCCTCTTGTGCGAGAGCTTTTCTGCTGTTGCTTTGCCATCGGCCCAACTTCTGTTTGTCTGTCTACAAGGCATTCACTGCTTGTTAACAATGCATGGAGCTCTCCTCCTCTCCTCTGGGTGACATGATTGTTTTTTCCTTGAGGAACGGACCAACTCCTTCAAGTAAGGAAGTGTGAATACAGAGTGCATCAGGACATCCTAGATTTATTTCTAGTGCAGCAATCAAATGGCATTGTAAGATTGGCCAGTTTTAGTTCTGTGAGGATTTTCACAAAATACACAACCCCCTGCCTGAAAGAAAAATGGGATTTTGTGTTGTTTTGGATCGTGGTTTCTAATGAAATCATATGGCTGGTGATACTGTTATAAAAATGTATTAGCAGGCTGTAAGTGAAGAAGGCAAACAGAATTTCCATATGTTCTAACCGAGGCGTTTGCCAAGCCTTCATAATTTGCAGTGATTGGATCCAAAACATTAAACTTTATTGTAGGAACAGAATCAAATTGTTTTCCAGACATACTTTTAAAAAACATGCAGCACCACATATTTTCTTTTCTCTTTTGGAGATGGTTGAATCCTCATAGCAGCAGTGTTTCATGTTTTATGTCTTTCTCTGGTTCTTGTTGAGGTGACACGCTATCCTACAATAAGGAAGGGGGGAAGGAGGGGAAGAAATACATTACTTTGGAATTCTTTTCTATTCCTGGGACTTGTGTTTCTCCTAAATGTTATAACATCCTAACATTTCTCTAAAATGCTCTGTTGGACATATCTTTGTGGTGTTTCACCAATTGGAAATCCAAGGCTTGGGTTAAGTTATAATAGCCCAAATTTTGGGGCTCTTCAGAAATGGTACCCAGCCTTTAGTACTAGTTTCATATGTAAACACTACAGCTTATAACCATTTTTTTTAACCTACTGATTCACCTAGTGCTTGATATTTAATTTTTTGCATGCAGAATCCAAATGGATAAACATCAAGTCAAGGACTCTTCCCTTCTATTGATTGTGACTGTTATACCACTTCATTTTAATAAAGGGAACTGCACTGAGTCCCTGTTTAATCCCAAAAGCAGGAGAACTATGTTGTACAAGTAGCAGTTGTTAAACAGACTAGTGAATTCACTTCTCATCTCACTGACTTCAGCCAGGGGACTTTAAAGCTATCTGAGTTTCTTGTAGCCTAACATAAAAGATAATAATATGGCAAAAATAGAAGGCAAGTAGAGACAAAAATACTGTGTATTAAAATATCCCCAGCCTTGCCATCATGTTCCCTTCTCAAATGAGGGCAGCTTAGTGTTAATTTACTATGTAAAACAATCTTGTGAAATATTTTAGGAAGGATTGAATAGGGAATTCTCATGTATTAACACTCTTGCATGAGAGTACAAAGCACTATTCTTAATTCCAGCAGTGCTGTACTGCTACCTTCTATGTATCTTCCTTTGTGATTTACTGTTTCCACATACTTGTCGTGACAGCATACTTTGACCTGCTAGGCTTGAGGTTTCCTTTTTGACTGACATTTTTGAAAACTTGAAATAGTTTCATAGTTTCTAGGGTCGGAAGGGACC